CCTCCTCCTCCTCCTCCTCCTCCTCCTCCTCCTCCTCCTCCTCCCCTTTTATGGCAAAAGGGGAGATTTTTAAAAAAAAAACTGCATAGAAGTGAATTAAAGGCCTTTTAGATTATAAAGTCCTGCTCATTCTGTGAGAATATATACAGAAATAAAAAAAGATTTTTGTTGTCCAAGACAAGGCAACTTATTTTAGGGACTATTCAATCATGTAATTGTGTTTGCAGATGTGCTTATATTGGGCTTCTTATGTGTATTTTTGATTTGAGAACTATAGTCTTGACTACAATCCTAGTAGTAACTTATCTATTATTGGTGGAAATTTAAACAGATAATGATAATTTTTCTTCTTTACACTTCAGTTGAGACAGACAAGACTGAAAAGGAACAATTGTATTGCTTTGGTTAATATTATATTACGTATTGCATGTTAAATCCTGATTGTGCAATGATTACATATGATGAACTATAAATATGTTTCACCAAACCCAAGGTGTGCATATAAATTCATAGTTTTTCAATGCAATTAAAATAACATGGGATATTACTTCAAACAAGATTTTAGCATTTTTTCTTGATTAATATTGAACAACTTTATTAGATGCATAGATCCCATTATTATTACAAGTCCTCATCCTATACTAGCAATTGAGGCATTGTTGTTCAAATAATATCATTATTTTCTGTAATCTTTATAATCTAAGCTAAGAATGGGAAACCATTTTTTCTTCTTATTCCCCTTTTTAAATAGCAATTAATCAGGACTACATTCCGATAAGCCAAAATTGGGCACCATCACTCATTTTAATAGTAGAGCCAAACAAAGCCAGCTTAGGTCTGAAAAAGGAATCTTACATAGTTTATAGTAAAGGTCAGCAATTCATTGTCTTCTAGTTGCATATTCCCAATACTTTATCTGTGCTCATAATACCTCTAAACCCCTTTCTTGCTTGACAGACAGGCCTAATGTTTTCCCTTTCTATGTGAAATGAGGGGCAAAATTTTGCTCCTCAAAGTCTTTTAAAAATATTAAAATCTATGGAATGGAAACAGTTGATATTATTCTCTCTAGTGATATCACCCTATTATTAGTTACACACAATCTATTTTATTCCAAACAAATTCAAAAGCGGAAACATGACCCTCAGGGAGAAAATATTGCCTACTTTGTTCTGTATGTTACTGAACTTTAGTTTTATTTCTATGTAGACCCTGTCTTTCCATAAATCCCGTCTTTCTTCTCATTAATGCTTTAAAGTTCATGTTCTAAAATTTGTAATAATTACAGCATCCCTAGTAAGGTTCTATGTTATTTTTTGCCTTGCCAATTCTGTTGCTTAAAAATAGTGTATGTATTAGATTTACAAATCAAATAAATATATTTTCCATTATTACTTACATTATCTCCTTCGTGTCAACAACCGTGAGAATCTGAGTTGAGGTTTTTATGTATTATTGTGTTAGAAATAGTGTTCCATGGTTTGGCTGCAGTAGATGGTAAGATGGTAATTTAGTCATAAATTCTGACGAGCTAGGAAAGCATGCAGTGTGACAGTTTCATAGAGCAGATTTTTCTATTCATTGTAAATAAAGTACTTAATGTAATGCTATTGTTCTATGAACTTGAAGTTCTAGTACTTAGAACTAATTTAGTATTAGGTTTGGAGGCCATTCTTTTGACAATTATCCCGAATTCTTTTGAATAGAAGGCTAAACGCATAACATCACGGTTGTATGGCGTAAGTCAACCTGACAACATGTAACATTTTCACAGCATTATATTGGGGTAGGCTTTTGTAACCCAATCTGCAACCAGTTTACTTGCAGTCTAATGGACCAGTCAGGTTCAAATACAAGAGACCAATCAAACCCTATTCATGGTCTATGAGCTTCCAAGAGGTACACCACAAAGCAGCAAAAGATGACAGCCGCAGGCCCA